TGTTTTGGTATAAAATTAGTTACCAAAATTTGTGGTGATAGTTGTTTTTCATTAGTTTTTAGTTTCAGTTTTTATTTTTAGATTTTGTTTTAAATTTTGGTTTTTAGTTTTTGGTTTTTAGTTTTTAAGTTTCTATTTTTGATTTTCAGCTTTTGGTTTGAGTTTTTAATTTTTAGACCCGCTGAGTTAGTTTGAACTGATATTACCAACAAACAAATCTCAATTAATCGAACATGTAATTTTAAACTGAAAAGATGACAAAATAATTTTCTAAAAATTTTGAAATAGTTTATTTTGTAAATAAAAAAGCAAAAAATATAACATGTGTTTTCAGCTTTTGGTTTTTAATTTTAGTTTTTAGATTTGGTTTTTGGTTTTGCTTTACATTTTTTTTAAAATCTGTATATTATTTAAGAAAAATAAAAGAATAAATTATTTAAAAGTTACCATTAAAATTTATCAAGATAGAGTGATTGTTATTTAAAAAAAATGTTAACATGTTTTAAAGTACATGATTTAAATAAGTGATTAATAATAGATAATTTTGTTTTGTTGAAAATATTAAATATTTTGGGCTAAAAAATATTAACATGTTTTAAAGTACATGATTTAAATAAGTGATTAATAATAGATAATTTTTTTTGTTGAAAATATTAAATATTTTTGGCCTGAAAATAGTAATTGATTTTTGATCCATTAAGGTGGAAAATTTATTTAATGTTTTTGAAGTTTTCTTTAATATTAAGCCCAGAAACCAAACAATTAAAAGTCATAAAAACAAAAGTAAGCCCAAAACTCTATTCCATAAATAACCGCCGATTTAATTTAAGTAATGCGGTTCAATCAACTATATAACTTGTATTATTTGTAACACTCTAGAAAGGGTCCAAATTTAAATGACAACTTTTATCAGTAGATAAAAAGAATGACTCTATTTTAATAGCGGAAATTTTTTATGATTAAAAATTTATATAATTGGGTTTTGTCTTAATTTAAAGAATGTTTTGGTATAAAATTAGTTACCAAAATTTGTGGTGATAGTTGTTTTTATTAGTTTTTAGTTTCAGTTTTTTTTTTAGATTCTGTTTTAAATTTTGGTTTTTAGTTTTTAAGTTTCTATTTTTGATTTTCAGCTTTTGGTTTGGGTTTTTAATTTTTAGACCCGCTGATTTAGTTTGAACTGATATTACCAACAAACAAATCTCAATTAATCGAACATGTAATTTAAAACTGAAAAGATGACAAAATAATTTTCTAAAAATTTTGAAATAGTTTATTTTGTAAATAAAAAAGCAAAAAAATATAACCTGTGTTTTTAGCTTTTTGGTTTTTAATTTTAGTTTTTAGATTTGGTTTTTGGTTTTGCTTTACATTTTTTTAAAATCTGTATATTATTTAAGAAAAATAAAACAATAAATTATTTAAAATTTACCATTAAAATTTATCAAGATAGAGTGATTTTATTTAGGAAAAAAATGTTAACATGTTTTAAAGTACATGATTTAAATAAGTGATTAATAATAGATAATTTTTTTTTTGTTGAAAATATTAAATATTTTTGGGCTAAAAAATATTAACATGTTTTAAAGTACATGATTTAAATAAGTGATTAATAATAGATAATTTTTTTTTTCTTGAAAATATTAAATATTTTTGGCCTGAAAATAGTAATTTATTTTTGATCCATTAAGGTGGAAAATTTATTTAATGTTTTTGGAGTTTTTCTTTAATATTAAGCCCAGAAACCAAACAATTAAAAGTCATAAAAACAAAAGTAAGCCCAAAACTCTATTCCATAAATAATTGCCGGTTTAATTTAAGTAATGCGGTTCAATCAACTATATAACTTGTATTATTTGTAACACTCTCGAAAGGGTCCAAATTTAAATGACAACTTGTATCAGTAGATAAAAAGAATGACTTTATTCTAATAGAGTAGATTACAAAAGTTTATGAGTTATTCTAGTTATTTCACATATGATTTGAGTCATTATAAGTAATTTCTTTTTATTTTATTGAAAAAAATAATTTGGAAGCTTATATTTATCAAATCTTCAAAACTAAAATACATATGATTACAAAGACCACACATGCGCATGGATGCGCGGGTCAAAAATAGTTCTAGTTATTTCACATATGATTTGAGTCATTAATATTTTCTTTTTATTTTATTGAAAAGATTCAAAGGCTCGTTTGATGAGTTTAAATGATGGTAAGAAGCAATTTCGCTTGATAATGAAACTTTTTTTGGTGGCTTTTTTTACCTAGTAAAAAGAGGTTGAAAAAAAGAAATAGGTTCAGAGATCTTTGGAGACTTGAATAATAAGGAGCTCAATGGTTTAGACTCAGAGGTTCACTTGAACATGAATAATAGAAACACTTAACAATAAATATAATAAAAAGAAACTCAATTGCTTGAAAAAAATATATAAAAAAGCTCTATAGCTCAAAATCATTCAAAAACTCCAAGAACAGAACTGATTGTTAGGTCATTGTGACTCTGATGCGCAAAATCATTCAAAAATTCCAAGAACAGAACTGATTGTTAGGTCACTGTGACTCTGGTACCATGCAGAGAACAGTGAAAATAGAAGGTTGGAAGAATTGTATTATTGCCCTCATGAATAACATGATTAGAGTTACATATTTTCCTAAACTAGCTAGATACTAAAATACATATGATAACAAAGACCAAACATGCGCATGGATGCGCGGGTCAAAAATAGTTCTAGTTATTTCACATATGATTTGAGTCATTATAAGTAATTTCTTTTTATTTTACTGAAAAAAAAATTTGGAAGCTTATCGTTTAGAATCAAAAGAAGCTCTAAGGCTTGTTTATGGATTCAAAGGCTCGTTTGATGAGTTTGAATGATGGTAGGAAACAATTTCGCTTGATAATGAAACTTTTTTTGGTGGCTTTTTTTACCTAGTGAAAAGAGGTTTGAAAAAAAGAAATAGGTTCAGAGATCTTTGGAGACTTGAATAATAAGGAGCTCAATGGTTTAGACACAGAGGTTCACTTGAACATGAATAATAGAAACACTTAACAATAAATATAATAAAAAGAAACTCAATTACTTGGAAAAAAATATATAAAAAAACTCTATAGCTCAAAATCATTCAAAAATTCAAAGAACATAATTGTTTGTTAGGTCATTGTGACTCTGATGCGCAAAATCATTCAAAAATTCCAAGAACAGAACTGATTGTTAGGTCATTGTGACTTTGATACCATGCAGAGAACAGTAAAAATAGAAGGTTGGAAGAATTGTATTATTGCCGTCATGAATAACATGATTAGAGTTACATATATACTAGATATGTTTCCTAAACTAGCTAGATACAAATATATGTGAATATCTTGTATGATAAATATACAATATTAACAATAATAACTATGATCTCCTAGATCCTTCTATACTGCGGAAAGCATGTTGTTGAGTTCTAGAGAAGACTTAGACCCAAGTAATACAACTTGTTCGACAGAACAAAGATCATATCCATGGGGAAACACATCAAGGGCAACACCACGGCCATCAATCTTAACCTCAACTCGAAGACCGCCTGTGCAAATTAACAACATCAAAGAGACACAACAGTCTTTAGTTAAAGAGCATCAATGCATAATGGAGTTAGTAATTTGTTTGTTTAATAGCAGAAACAGAGCTTCCTGATTGCTTGTGCACCATCATGATCTTTTCCTTGGTAATATTGAAATAGACTCCTCCTTGGTGGAGAGATACAACTCATAGCCATAATCAAATACACCGATAAAAAATGAGGAGGCAATTCCTCTCATACCTCTATATATCATTCTCTAATCTTTCTAGGACACATTTATTCTTTTAATTTTATATATTAAACAAAAAAATCATAAAATTAAATTGGAAACGTGAATATTTTTTATTTGATTTAGAGAATTTGATAAAAAAATATTTCAAATATCAAAAATAAAATTCATATTTTTGCGAAAATCATCAAAATATGATTAAAAAGATTTTAAAATTTTTTTTTTCGAAATTTGATCACTATAGAATTTAAATATTTGTCCAAGGGTTCACTAATCCATATGGGGGTTTAGGGTTTAGTTTTGAACACCGAGAATGATTTAATTTAGGGGTTTGGGTTTTGATAAAAAAAAATTATGAAATAGGGATATAAGAGATCAAGTGAACCCATAAAAAATTAGCTTTGAAAAAATAGGGGCATGAGACAAGATGTCTCGAAATTGAGCTAGCAAGGATTTCACTGACTTGGGTCTCTTGAAGTTCAATGGCCCATTTAAATTTAGTGGCCCATCTCGAATCTGATTAACAATTAAGCCAGAAAAATGAAAAGAAAAACAAAAAAAGGAGAAAAGATTGATGCTTTTGAGCTAATACTTGACTAACTGCAACAAGGTTCCCTAGTTGAAAACAAAGATAGATACGCGACGAGAAGCAAGACGGTGGAGGATTGAGGAAGGGAACAAGTGCAGACTTTTCATCAGCATTGAGGATTGCTGATTAAACGACAGCGTGTTGTGGGGTTTGGTCAGACTAATTATCTTTCACTTGTTAGATACCTTCAGAATGTGACACGTGTAAATAAGACAAGAAGAGGGACATTGGATCCCGACAGTAACACAAAGTGGTGGATATTGGAGTCCGACTTTTCAGCACCAAAGAATAATAATATGGTAAGCAATGTCAAATAAAAGATGATAGGTCTACTACGTTAGCCACGTTGAATCTATAATCCTAGTAAGTAAACTACTAATTAACCCATCTGAAATCATGTGTGTGAATCATATACAGTTATACACACAGACTACTAAAAGTAATGATGGTTTGTTTGCTGATGTAAATCATGATTAAGGTCACTAAACATATATTAGTGACCTACACAGGCGCTACATATCGGCGTCACATGGGCAACTTTATTAAAGGTCTCACATGGACTTTGTCTCCTTTGTTTCTCCTGTCTTGTCACACTAGTCTTTGTCTCTCCACCATTTCACAGTTTATATATACCAAAACCTCCATCCTTTCGACTCAGATCACTCACTTGGAATCAAAATCTCAAACCTCTCGATGGATCTCCGATTACCATCTAAGGTTCTTGAGCACATCTTCTCCTTCGTCGACTCCAACGAGGATCGAAACTCTGTTTCTCTTGTCTGCAAGTCATGGTACGAGACCGAGCGGCGAACTAGGAAAAAGATCTTTGTCAGAAACTGTTACGCGGTTACACCTGAGGCGGTTGCACGGCGGTTCCCGGAGATGAGGTCTCTGACTCTTAAAGGGAAGCCTCACTTCGCTGACTACAACTTGGTTCCAGACGGTTGGGGTGGTTATGCTTGGCCGTGGATTGAGGCTTTGGCGGAGAAGAGCCCGTCTCTTGAGGAGTTGAGGTTAAAGAGAATGGTGGTGACTGATGAGTGCTTGGAGAAGATCGCTGCTTCGTTTAAGGAGTTTAAGGCTCTTGTGTTGACTTCTTGTGAAGGTTTCTCCACTGATGGTCTTGCAGCCATTGCAGTAGCTTGCAGGTTCGGTTCGCAGCAAACACTAAACCTTTGTTTTTTATAGGCCGGGGTGTTCGGTTTTCTGTTCTTCCGGTTAGGTTCTAGAGGAATCATTTGGTTATTTCAGTTTTCGTTTTCATTTGGGTAACAATGTTTTGGAGGAGCTTTGAAAAAATTTTGGGTTCTATCCGGTTCTTCGGTTAGATTGAAGTAGAAAGTTAGTTTTTTACAATTTTTAGATTAAATATTGGGAAATTCGGATAGTTTAAATATTTTAGATAAAAAAGTATTATGGTATTTTGGTTTTTTCAATTATTTCGATTTATAAATAGTATTTTAATATATTTGATAATGTTATGAAAACGCTTTAACTGGTGACCACCAAAGGAATAATAGGAACAACGAGGAAAGGAATGAAGAGGAACAAAATAATAGGAACATTTGTTCCATATTGTTCCTCCCCGGATTTGATAAGGAATAATTTTGTTCTTTGATTCCTTAAATTAAAAGGAATGAGAAGGAATATTGAAGAAAAATTATTCCTTATAAATGGTGCAAATTTAAGGAATGGAGAGGAATTAACTATTATGATTCCTTATAAATGATGTTAAATTTAAGGAATAAAGAGAAATTAACTATTCCCACACATTCCTTTGGTCACCAGTTAAAGCAAATATATTTAATATTTTTATTGTATGTTCTGGTGGTTCTGGTTCAGTTTGGGTTTTTCGGTTCTAAAATTATAGGAACTGTTCTTTTATTGTGATTTTTTTTTTGTTTGGTTGTCTCGGTTTTATGCCCATGCCTACTTTCTTGTCTCATAATTAACAACTTTGGTTTCTTGTTGTTGTCTGATTTTTTCAAAAACAGTAACCTTAGAGAGCTGGAATTGCGAGAGTGCATAGTTGAAGATCTTGGAGGAGACTGGCTTAGCTATTTCCCAGAGACTTTGACTTCTCTCGTCTCTCTTGACTTCTCTTGTTTAGACTCAGCGGTTAAACTCTCAGACTTGGAGCGTCTCGTGAGCAGGTCTCCAAACCTCAAGTCTCTCAAGCTGAATCGAGCTGTGAGTCTAGAAGCTTTGGGGAGCTTGCTTCGTCTAGCTCCACAGCTGGTTGAGCTTGGCACAGGTTCTTTCTCAGATAAGCTCGATCAAGAAGCAGTTTCAAAGTTATCACAAGCTTTTTCAGAGTTGAAGCAGCTTAAGAGCTTGTCTGGTCTTTGGGATGTCCACCCTGAGTACATTCCACTTCTTTACTCTGTTTGTCCTCGTCTTACCTCGTTGAACTTGAGCTATGCTACTGTCCAGATGCCTGATCTTGTCGAGCTTCTTAGTCGATGCTCCAACTTGCAGAAGTTATGGGTGATGGACTTGATAGAGGACAAAGGTCTCGAAGCTGTTGCCTCCTCTTGTAAGGAACTGCGAGAACTAAGGGTGTTTCCATCTGGAGCAGAAGATCTGGATGAAACAAATGTAGCTATGACTGAACAAGGTCTGGTCTCTGTCTCTGAAGTCTGTCCAAATCTTGAATCTGTTCTCTACTTTTGTGTCCAATTTACAAACGAAGCTTTGGTCACCATAGCAAGAAACCGTCCAAATCTCAAATGCTTCCGTCTCTGTGTGATGGAGCCATTTTCTCCTGATCACAAAACACAGAAGCCACTTGATGAAGGATTCAAAGCCATAGTTGAGGGATGCAAGGATCTTCAACGTCTATCTGTCTCTGGTCTCCTCACTGACAAGGCCTTTCAATACATTGGTACACATGGCAAGAAGATTAGGATGCTATCAATAGCGTTTGCTGGGGAAAGTGACTTGATGCTACACCACTTGTTGTCAGGATGTGAGAGTCTGAACAAGCTCGAGATAAGGGATTGCCCTTTTGGAGACACTGCTCTGCTGGAGAACGCTGCTAAACTAGAAACCATGCGGTCCCTTTGGATGTCGTCTTGCTTTGTTAGCTTTGGTGCTTGCAAACTCCTGAGTCAGAAAATGCCAAAGCTAAATGTTGAAGTCATTGATGAACATCCTCCAGAGACAAGACCTGACAGCTCTCCAGTTGAGAGGATATACATATATAGGACGCTCGCAGGACCGAGACTGGATATGCCTGAGTTTGTGTGGACAATACACAAAAATCTAGAGATTGGAGTTTCAAATCTAGCCATAGAGTAAACTTGCTGTTTCCATATTGAGTTTTTGCATGCATTGTTGTGAGGGATGCTCCTTCCATGACCATGTATGTTTGTTGCTTTCATATTATTGTCTTCACTAAATTGTTAGAATCATCAGCATTTTAATAGCTTTGTAATATGTTAAGCAAATCTTGTGTCTTTGCACTAAAGTTTGGAATACAAATTTCTCACTTTATAAGATTTATATTCATCCGTTTATAAAAAAAAAACAGCAGCAAAGCCTATCCAAAACTACAAATGTTTGCCTCAAAACAACACAACAAACATGGAAGGTGCATGCTTGATCATGATGTGGTTATGCTTCTATCGTTTTCAGCAGTTTTCTTGATTGATTCAAGAAGATGCTCTATTTTGTATTTCATTACAGGCTGACCGTGACGCGTCTTTCTCATCATTTTCCCCTTTGCTACTTTCCTCCGGGACTTCTTTCTTGGCCTGAAAGGCGGCTTCTCTCTCCATCTCTTCACGTGTCTGCTTGTACACCTCTTCCACACCGATTCTCTTGTGAGATTTATTAACCTTATCATCACCATCTACTGACACAATGCCCTTAAATTTTTCTATGAAGCTGCGAAGGCTTTGCCCTTGTGCTTGGAAGAGGTTCCAGAGGTCGGATGCAGTAGCCTCCTCGTGCGTGAACATTATGTAGTTCTTTAAGAAAACTGATGACAGGTCGTGAAAACTGTCGACAGATTTTTCTGGCAGGCCGGTGAACCACGTGAGGGCCACACCGGTTAGACTCTCGACGAAAAGCTGGCAGTGGCCAGTGTCCCGCTCTTTGTCGGAGAAGTTCTGTCGCCTCATCGCGATGTTGAAGGACGTGATGTGGGCTGTTGGATCCGAGAGACCATCGTAAGTCGGCAAGCGGATCTTGTCTATCTTGCGGAGTCTTACGTTGGTTATCCTGCTGGTGAACATAGTTTGTAGGGTGTCCGTGGGGACGCTTTTGATGAGCGGGGAGGAGGTCGTGACTCCATGAATCTTCGATTTTATGATGAGGAGAGCTTGCTAGAGTGAGGCGATTTCTTGGATAGTCTGCAGATCTGGACTAATTTCCGATTGCGCGGAGTCGTCCGGGGGTTTGGTCGGCATGAAAACCTGGTTAGCCGGAGTAGGGGTAGGGTTTGTGTTAAAAAGAAATCGTCGGGCCGTCGAAAGGTGTCCTCTGGCACCGTCTAAGTTTGCGAGTATGCGGCGATAGCTGCAAGATGCTCGTTCGTCGTCTTCTGGGCTTCATCTTGGCGAGCGAGGCGCTCCATGACGGAGTCGACGAAGGTCGGAGCAAGTGATATGGCGGCGCCTGAGGTCGGTGCTATGGCATCTCCCTCGTCGCCGGAGGTTAAATCGTTACTCGGACTCATCCTGTGTTGACGCTACTTTGTTATGCCCCACGGTGAGCGCCAACTGTTCAAACCGAGTTCGGTCTTTTTAGTAAATGAGTGACTAGATTCGTTTGTGGGTTATTTAAAAAAGCGTTATTTACTATTTAGAGTCGAAGAGTGATTTTTTTAATGAAAGAGTTCGGTTACCAATGGGAAAGGAGAGGCGAGGCGGAGTCTCTCGGAGAGCTCAGCCGTGCCGTACAAGTCGGAAAGAAAGTACAAGAGTGAAAACCCTAATTCTAGCCGCCTTCTGAGTGAGAGTATTTTTGGATCCCCTTCTCGTTGGCTTCTCTCCTCCTTTTATAGCTGCCTCTTCGTTTGACCTAACGAACTGGTCGCTCGTGTGGAAGGATTTCGTCGAATGGGCCTTGGTCGGCCCATTAAAACAGGCGCTTCGCCTTAAACGTTGTTAACTCGGTTAATTACGGGAGTTACCCGGGTTAAGCTCAATTAGTAGCTAATCTCGAAAATATTACCTCGTTGGACTGGAGCTCGCGTGGGTCAAGCCCATTATTCAGTGGGCCTTGTGAAAGAGAGTATTCCACCACTTACAGCGACTTCCTTTTCTCTACGAAGACAAACAAAGGCTTGAGCTAGTATTTCTTTTGCACCCTTCTCTTATCAATAGTTTTGTAGCAATGGTTATTGGTTAGTGTTTCTTTCTGGTAACGAAAAGCTTGAGCTAACACAAACGTTAGATTCATATTTCTATTTTATGTTCACACCGACTGATATGAATCTCATATTTATTTTTTCATGTATGGCTTAATTAGGATGTGCACAGAGGTACCGGGAAGGCTGGTAAATTTCTCATCCTATCTTATGCATTTTGGGCTGTGCTTAGGTAGAAGTTTGGAAAGTAAACCTATCTCTTAATTTTCCTGTATATAAATCAAAAGTAGCGATAGGCATCGTACTTTGGTTAAATCATCTGATGCAGCAAGTGTTGGATATTTAAGTGACTACAAGCAATGTATCATTACATATCTATGTGACTAGATGCAATGTATCATGTGAATTATTGCAACTATTAAAATGAATTATTGCAACCATTAAAGTGATGCTTTGCAAGTGTTTAAATGAACAAATGCAACTGTTTTGATTATAATTACTAGTGATGAACCATTACAATCTTTTGGTGATAAACCATTGCAACCATTGATGATTAAAACCTTGGGTAAAGAAGCATCGTGACTTTTGACCAACCATTGCAATTGTTGGTGCTAATAGTTGCAAATATTGGTGCTAACCATTGCAACATTTCATACTGTATATAAGGAGTTGTTGGCATTGGCAAAAGACACAACTTGAAAACTTGAATCATGAGAAACATCAGAAACTAGTTAGTAAAAAAAAAAAAAGAGACTCATTGTTTGAAGATCATCAAAGATCTTTGAAGAAACACAAATAATCATTAAAGCTCTATTTGATATTCGTGTATCTTAGCCTAGAACAAGAATGTGACTTTGATTGTCTTATCCTACAAAGGGATTTCGTGAAATCCAAAGGCTTGGAAGAGGGTCGAAATACTCTTTAAGGAAAGTGACCTCGTGCGCGATTCAATCATTATCCAAGTATATAGTTCACACCCATTTGTTGGGGTCAAAATCGGTACGACGGAATTAATAGCCAAAACTTTCCGCAAGAATACAAAAAGAACAGTTTTATAAAGCTCGAGAATCGTTTTATAAAACTCGAGAAATCGTTTTATAAAACTCGAGAAATCGTTTTATAAAGCTCGAGAATCGTTTTATAAAACTCGAGAAATCGTTTTATAGAGCTCGAGAATCGTTTTATAAAACTCGAGAAATCGTTTTATAAAGCTCGAGAATCGTTTTATAAAACTCGAGAAATTGTTTTATAGAGCTCGAGAAATCGTTTTATAAAGCTCGAGAATCGTTTTATAAAACTCGAGGATCGTTTTATAGAGCTCGAGAAATCGTTTTATAAAGCTCGAGAATCGTTTTATAAAACTCGAGGATCGTTTTATAAAACTCGAGAATCGTTTTATAAAACTCGAGAATCGTTTTATAAAACTCGAGAATCGTTTTATAAAACTCGAGAATCGTTTTATAAAACTCGAGAATCGTTTTATAAAAATTGAGAAATCGCTTTATAAAACTCGAGAAACCGTTTTATAAAACTCGAGAATCGTTTTATAAAACTCGAGAATCGTTTTATAAAACTCGAGAAACCGTTTTATAAAACTCGAGAAACCGTTTTATAAAACTCGAGAAATCGCTTTATAAAACTCGAGAAACCGTTTTATAAAACTCGAGAATCGTTTTATAAAACTCGATCGTTTTATAAAACTCGAGAAACCGTTTTATAAAACTCGAGAAACCGTTTTATAAAACTCGAGAATCGTTTTATAAAACTCGAAGATCGTTTTTATAAAACTCAAAAGTCGTTTTATGAAATCCGAAGATCGTTTTATAAAACTCGAGAATCGTTTTACAAAACCGCAAAAAACCGCAAAAAACCGAAAAAGCCGTAAGACGCGAACTAGTCGCAACTAGTTGGCCCATCGGCGAACTAAGCCGGACCCGGCTTAGTTCGCCGATGGGCAAACTAAGAAACACTCTCTAGTTCGCCCATCGGCGAACTAAGCCGGGCCCGGCTTAGTTCGCCGATGGGCGAACTAAAACATGCTTGACTAGTTCGCCCATCGGCGAACTAAGCCCGGCCCGGCTTAGTTCGCCGATGGGCGAACTAGAGACTTCCCGGACACTCCACGTCTCGATTTCCCGCATTTCCGATTCAAAACTTACGACACGATCGCATTCTAAATTACGGCTGAAACATCTCCCGTTTCATCTCGATCCGACTTACCGTTCGAGTTTTACGATAAAAACCGTAAAACTTCGTTTTCTCGGAAAGAACTCGAGGAAATCGTATAAAATGGCAACGGTTAAACAAAACACCGAACATTGCCTAAACTATACGATTTATTCGGGATTTCTCGTTAAAATCATAAAAACGCGCTTTTTAATAAAAAAAAGTCGAGTAAGTCGTAAAAAACGTGTTTTTAATGAAAAATCGAGTAAATCGTAAAACCTTGCGATTAACTCGAGTAAATTATTAAAAAAGACGTCAGATCAGGAAACGATCCCGTAAAAGTCGGAAAAACGGTTTTTATCGCAAAACGGCCCGAAAGGACCTAAAACGCGATGAAAACCCATCTCCCGATTTCAACGGAATCAAACCCGCAGATTTGATAACGTTTTGACGGTTTACTCGCAGAAAGAAAATAAAAGTCAAGTTTAAACATAAAAGGAAGGTTTGAAGAGAAATAGAAGATTTCCGCAGAAGAAAAGGAAGGATCGAGAAGAATAGAAAATTCCCGATTTAGTCAAATCTGGGCGAAATGGAAAGATCGGATAGCCAAGACGAGGAGTATATAAAGAGGAGGTCTAGGGCAGAAGCACACACACGAAATTCAGGGCTCTCACCACCAAAACTAGCATTTAGGAATCTTTCCGTTTTTCTGTTAGCGAGCTGCGTCTCAATTAGGGTTTTCTAGTTCATACGTTTTCGGCTACTCTCTTTGTACCAGTTCAACGCAGATTCGGAATAAGAACCTTCTTGCTTTCAATCTCGCCTATTTTTCGTTTTAATTCTAAGTGTTTTCGTCATCTTAATCNATTAGGGTTTTCTAGTTCATACGTTTTCGGCTACTCTCTTTGTACCAGTTCAACGCAGATTCGGAATAAGAACCTTCTTGCTTTCAATCTCGCCTATTTTTCGTTTTAATTCTAAGTGTTTTCGTCATCTTAATCTTTGTTG